CTTAATTCGTTTCTTCCTTTCATTGGTTTTCATTTATGTTCCCTAGAAGTAATCAGGGGACCAGTGTTATCATTCTATGGTCTTTCCTATGCACATAAAATGCAGTATTTATCTATTTAAAATTGCATTTTATTTAAAACTGTTTTAAATATATAATTTAAGATGTATATATTACATATTGCATACATTACTATGGTATATATAATATACAGCGTCCACTTGACAGTAAAAAATGCCAGTCATGTCTTTTTAAAGGCTGCAGTATATTTCATCACTCCACTGAAGGACTGTTGGGTTTTCTTTCAAACTTTGATGCTTGAAGACACAGTGAAAATTCTGATCATAAACATGAACAAAGTACAAGAGGTAGCTCTGCTGATCAGGTCACAGGAACATTTTGATGGAAAGTGCCTTCTTAAAAGTTGTCCAGCATTTCTGCACTTTCTCACCCCTTTCGTGAGTTTTTTGTGATGTGAGGTATATTTATTCTCAAGTTATTATCATAAAACTGGTGCCTCTTGGCTTCGATTTTTATCTCCTGGATCACTTTTGGTTAAATAATGTATTAGCTATTTGGTTTTGTTCTGTGAATTCCTTTATGCAATACATTTTTACTCATTTCTTATCCTGTGGAATTGTTTTTTTTTTTTTTTTATTCATCCGGAAAGCTCTTTGCATACCAGGGATATGGCAAATATGCCTTTGCAACCGTTCATGGCAAATATGCCTTTTCAAGTATTTGTGGAAAGTGTTGCACGTTATGAAGTCCTTTCTCTCTGCTTTTTGCACGTGGTCCATTCCTTTCTTGCCTTTCTTTCTAGTGCCTTTTGCTTGTCTCCTTGCTTCCTTATTTGTATCCCTTATTAGAAGAGAGAGAGGTATGAAATTAGATATTTCAGCAGGGCCATGTCAATCTAAATTGAGTTAGAAAGATGAAAGCTCCTCATCTAATGTGTATAGAAGATTTTATGAGAAATGTCCTGTCTCTTCCAATTTTTCATAAGGCACCTTTTCAATCAGAACTGTGAATAATGCCTAAGTATATTCCAGTGAAAACATTCAACTCATTGACGTACTGGCTGATGAAATATGAAAAGATGCAATCAGTCATTTGGATGTGCCAATGATCAAACACCTCGATAACTGGCCAAATGTTTTATTTTCTAGTCCAGATGCTTGAAAGCCTGTATACATGGATTTTTAATGACTTGGGACAAAAATGTTAGTACGGGTGGACAACTGAAAAAAGGAATGTGTAGCTACAGAGCAGGAAGCTTAAATTAATATTAATGTGCATTCAAAAAATAACGTGCTTGGACGCATATATATCAATTGAATATATGATAAATTTCCAAATATTTGAAATATTTATGTGACAATCAAAACTACAATGTTTCCTTTAAGCAGGTGCTATGCTAATTTATTTTTTCATATCATAAAAACAAAAATCACCATACAGGGTGCTATTTATTCAGATGAAAATGCCTACAGGTCAAAGATAGATCAAAGGATGCCATCTTATAAAAGAAAAGCAGTCTGGAAATATATTTTTAGAAAGTTTTTGAATTGCCAACTCTTACAGATATGTAGAAGAGGAAGAATAAAATACTAAATATTTTTAAAAAGAAATTCTTATATTAGTCTCCTCAAATAAATAGTTATCCATCTTTTGACTCCTAATATGTTTGATACACACACACACACACACACACACACACACACACATATATATATATATATATATATATATATATATACTCTGCCTAGTCATTCATATCTTTTCTTAATACTATATTTATTAAAATTAAATTGACAGTCTTGGTGCTGAACTAACTTTAGTAACAGTGGAATATATTTTATAGTTTGGTTATATTCATTGGTAACCACTAGAAATTATGCTTGAAGTAATCTGTGAGATCAAGAAGTTTAAAAATACTCTTTTTTCTTCATATTAATTGGAAAAAAATTTCTAGAAGTATGTGTCCTTAAATTTTTTCTTATAGATTTTATTAGTGAGGCAAAAGAAAGTTGTTTTTTATCTAAAGAGCAGATGATTTTCTACTTTATAATATTAAAATGCTTACTTCTATGGATAATTTTTATATTTGGAGTAGTGATTATTGTTTTCTGGGAAATCAATATACCTATCACTAACCTTTTTTGTTTTGCTTGCTTCTAGATAATCTCTAAAGAAGTATTCTGATATTAGCTGAATATTGCGTTTTAAGGTTGGGTGCGGTAGGTTCTCTCACTTTAATCTTTATACCTTTAACAATTCTTACTCTTGGCAAGTTGTAATGCAAGAAGTCAGAAATATCAGTCTTGGAATGCAAAAGGAAAACTTGACAGTCAAGACAATCAGTATTTATGCAAATTGAAAAAAAATTTGCCCACTTCAAAGTCATCAAATCTTAAGAAGATTTAAGAAAATATAGAAAATGTTATGACTATGTATAAATTCATATCCATTGCCTTTACCTTAAATCCATAAGGTAGATTTTTTTAATTTTGTTTCTAGTTTACTTTAACCTAAGACAATAGTATCACATTAAAAAAATAGCTTACTTGATTATAGGCAAATTTTTCTTCTCATATAAAATGAAATAGACTCGTAATATGTTGGAAATTTAAGAAACTGGTCTAGTTATACACAGTCATGATAAACATGTTTCATTTTCTTCTATATATGGGTCATCTGTTTGTTTTCTGGGCTACACTTAGAAAGAGAACAAGAAAGACTTGGGATTCAATCTGTTTCCTTAATAAAAAAAGTGAGTATTAATGGTTCTAGGAGTTTTCAGCAGGCTTGGATTTACTCTTCTTTAAACTGATTTTACTTTTTTGACACAAGTGACCAGTTGGCAGCAAACAGTAATAAAATAGAATAACACCTCTGTTTTACATTAAAGAAGCCTTCTCCCTAATTTTAATAGACATTCATTTCCCTTATTTAAAAAAAGAAAACAGAGTGTATAGAAATAGCAAGAAGAAATTGAAGCGATCATTTTACTGTGTTTTATGGGGAAAAAATCAGAACACTAATATACCTTGTGAAATCATTTGTTTATCAGGGATTCCAATGATTTTCATTCATCAATTAACTAATTGAAAAATTAAAGATCATAGTTTATACAGTTTGTGAGAGACTGGTTTATTTGAAGCAAACTTCTGCTCTGATGTAGGGGAAACTAGAAAAATTGCTGGGTGGCACCAAGTTAAACCTGATGAGTTTATAATGGCTGATTTAGCATTTAATACAGACATGAACTGTAGATACGTATTAGGCTTCAGTGCAGGGTAGGTGGGATGCTATGTTCGATGCATGTGTAAAAATCATATCCTAAGTACATGTTCTAGGTATCCTACATCTATGCTGAGTGTGTCCAAGTAAGATTTTAAATGTAAGCATAATTAGGTTCACCCTGAAAGGGAGACGAAGCTAGCTAGGAGACAAGATCCTCCGGGACCAGTTTAGATGCTTCTTAAATAAAGAAGAGTCTTCAAGACTTGTCAATCCTATTATTTAAGATTGATTAAGTAACTGAGATTTTCTTTTTTCTATCCTTGGAATAAAGTGAAAAATGGCCAGTCCTCTTCTACTTTAGACTAGTCATTCATATCCTTTATGACAGTTAGGTTTCCTCTGAGCTTTTTCTTTTCCAGGAAAAATTATTCTAACCTCTTCGGTCTATCCTCCTAGGTCCTATTCTTCAACCATTAAATCATCCGATTGCTCTTTCCTGTATCTTGTTCAGTTTCTTTAAAATCTCTTTAAACACATGAAATCTTAAATGTGATGTCTGCACACATCAGATAGGTTAGCACTTAGGGAGTATATTAATTTCTATCTTCTAAGTCATAGTGATGGTCATTATAACAGGTCAGTTAGAGAAGAAATGCAAGAGAAGCAGGTAGCATGGATTATTTTAACTTAATGGGTTAATGTGATCAGAAACAGTAAAATTTGCACTCGAAAAAATATCAGAAGGGTTCACGATATCGAAACACAAAATTTATTATAAAAACAACCAGAGCTACTTTTCTTTTACTTTTAAACAACCTAATGCTTCTTTTTAATAATTATCCTTTTGTGAGGGAAGAAGCTAGTAGGCAAGTTGACAAAATCTCAAATGCAGAAAGAAAAATATATCATACAGAATGGTGGCTCCCAGCTGCCTCAAGAAGGGCCTGGGCAAAATCAGAGATCTCAGCTAATTAAGAACCAGAACCACTTTTTCAAGCACTATTATTACCAAGAGGGGCATTTCTGTACCATTGCCTTGTTGTGTTTTTTGATAGAATACAGCATGAAAAAGAGAGAGCTATTCCCTCTGTCAATACTCTAACCCGGGCATTGCATTGCACTGTCTTCTCTGCAGCATTACATTGACTTTGGGTGATTAGGATACTGTTATTTCAATCTCTCCATTCCATCGGGGACAAAAAGAATCCATAACCTCATGAATAAACCAACTCTTCTACTGTATCAGTTTTTATGTGAACAAAGCTCTACTGTAATAAAAACCTAAAATAAAAAAAATTCTTCAACTTTTTTTGTCTCTCTGATGAAAACTTAAGAACACTGATAATTGAATGTGTATTTCTTTGCCCAATTTAAAATACTTGTCATTCATCCTGGGGTACAGTAGGAACTGTGGAACTGGGTGAGCTGCTTCACTGAGTCCAAAGGAGGGAAATGAGTCATTACTGAAAGCTGGAACTATATTCTTTCCAATAGCTTCCTTATAAATCAGCAGTAGCTAACAGGGATCACAACAAAGGCAACTTGCTAGAGCTTTAATTCCCCAGATGGAAGGCTGCAGATTTCACCCCTTCCGGTTTATTTTCACTTTAAGGCTTTAGAAAAAATAAATCAGCTATGCCCGTATTGAAAAAACACAGGCTGACCATAGAGGGCTTTGGCACTGACTGGTGTGCAGGAGTGAAATATTTTTATTTTGCACTAACCCCTTTCAAAAGCTAATGCAGTGTGGTCTTACCATTTTTGCAGACAGGACAACATTGCTCTGGTTCATAGACTGGGTTGACACACTCAGGAACTGCGCAGTCTGCTACAACACAGTGAACTTCATTGCTGGGCTCACAGCGACACCATTCACATGGAGAGGGCTAGGAACAAATCTAAAATTAGCCCCTTTTCTCCTAGAACTTAATGTTTGCACATTCAAATGCTGTCAGAAGACAAAACATCAGTGTTTATTATTGTCTTTGTTGAATTAACTTCATTTACCACGTGTACCACCATTCTCCCCCAGTGGAAGACAGTCTCGACATCCACACACTGATGTGGTCTGTAATACACAGCACAGGTTACTGTGAACAACTGCATTTCCTACAGCCCTGTCCTTTCTTTCCAGAGAAATGTTTGGACAAATAATATGCCATCTTGTGGTTTGGTTTCCAGATGCACTGATTGCTCTGCCTTTTTCTGATAAACAAGGATGATCCTGGAACATATAAAACAGAGATTTTTTTTTCCATTTGTCATTTTTTTTTCTTCCAGAGAAAGAGGCAGATTTCTTAGAAATAAGAAAATGGTAAGCATACAAGTTTACTCTGTATAAACCCTTTCGCAAGCTAACCTAGTCTCTAAATGGCACCTTTTCAATGTGAATTTTAGAGGAGATTGCATTTGGAATTCAAACATCTAGAGAGTGCTTCTTAAAAGATTTCATGAAATCTTTCATCTTCCCGGCTTGCTTTTATGAATGAACCAAAGTCGATGGAACTAAAATGCTACTATAGAAGAGCCAAAGAGGCTAAAACTGGAATTGAAAAGTGGTTAATTAAGAGAAAATAACAAAAAGCAGTAAAAGATTCTTATGTTTATAGTACTTACCAACCAAGAGTGAGTTTGTGATTTTAGTTTTCTTTCATTCTTTTCTAGAAACTGCCTTTATCACAAATAATAAATAGTGGCCAGTCTGTGAATGTTTAATTCTGTGTAAGTTCTAGTTCTAGTTTTTCATGAAACTGAGGTTTAGAATTCTGGAAGAAAACACAGAGGCCTCAGATGTCATGTAATTTGCGTATTTCTCAAATGGAGCTGTCTGTTCTTGATTTTGCCACCAAATCACTGCCACCATTCCTCAATGCAAATGTGTTAATGAGCCTTCATCCCTTGTTTCCACAGCTACTACCCATAGTCCCTGTCCAGTCTTGTTTCTTCTTGGACCTCAGAATTTATTCCGTGCTCCTTGATTTAGGCAATTAGTGGGGAATGGAAATCTCTCAATTATTTTCAATGATCATTTGATCATTGTGCTTGAAGAAGAGCAATCTCATATCAATATTTTTTGCTCTCAAATTCAGTCTGAACAAGAGAAATAGGCATAGAATTAGTACTAAAGTATTGCTATCTTTTTAAGATTATCTGTAAGCTTATTGAAGAGTACGGTTAAGTCTTTACCATGTGATGAATTGTGTTCAAGCATTTTAGAGGAATCTATTGTACCATTCCAATGGGCTGGAATTTTACTGAAGCTCCTCTAGAGAGTACATTTGGTAAATTAAGAAAACGATTGAGTCCTATTATACATTGTTTTATGGGAGAAGTTTTGAATAAGGAAATTGAAGAGTTGGAACCTGGGGATGGTATATGCCTACTTATATTTCAAGTCTCATTATTAGTTTTATCAAGCAAATGTATCAGAAAGTGTCCCCTTCCTTTAAGTAATGCAAAGAAGTACTTCCACATGGCCTTTTGAGTCATGGCCCATGTGAGAGAAAAAGGAGCCACTAATATAATTCCTCCCATGCCCTGCCCTTTTACAGTTGAAATTGTTTATTTTGGTTCCCTTTCTGTTGAAGGAAGGCTGGTGGGCACAACTCCTTAACTGGGGATAAAAATTCATGAGAAGACTGAATTTTCAATGCAAAATGTTTACTTCAAAGTATCCATAGTCTCTGAGAAAAATTTGTTTAACTACTAGAATGGCAACACAAACTGATGTGAAAACACTATTCTAAATTAAATGATGGTTTTGAATATTATGAGCTCCTAGTTATTGTACTAGGGCATTTGCCTATATCAATTTCCTCATTTCTTGCAATTAATTATATACCAGACTGCTAGTTCACTGCAAGAAGCACCCTTCTGTGTTCTGATCTGAGTAGACAGTGTTTCAATGCTTTGAACATTTCTCTGTGCAGACCAGGAAAAATGTGAACAATGGAATACTTTATTTATAGAGGTTAGGTACTTCATGATAAAAAAGTATTTCATTAACATGTGATTAATACATAAAAATATCATAAAAGCTTACAGCTGTTTGGCTTCCAATAAATGTGAGTTAGGAAATTACAGTAGACCAAAATTAGGTTTGTATATAGTTGATATTTTGGAAGAACTGACATCATCAAGCTTTGAATCCCTCTACCTTTGCATGTGTCTTTGAGCAACACTAACAGGTAATTGTCTAATAATGACCAAAATGTGTGCACAGGTCAGCACTGAAATCCTCAGAAATATTAGAGGAAAAACTAAGGCCAGGCTTAGTATCAAAGCATAATTGATTTTTTTCATGAAGTTTCAAATGATGAAAATTGTAAATTATAAATAAATAAAAACACCCAGTGGACTATTGGTAGGAATGTAAGAGACGGAATGTGGTAATGCTGGCTAGAAAAATGGGTGGGACCTGTCAATTGCAAGACCTCAAATGTGAGATTGCCTGATGATTCTTAGAGTCCAGTGTCCAGGATTTGCAGCTCCCATGAGATATTGATGGAATAAAGGAGACCAGAGGCTGCGAGGAGCCTGCTGACTCTTCAGAATATGTTTGCTCTTATCCTTTCTTCTCTTTGTTCTGCCCAACTTCATTCTACAGTACCATCTTTTCCCTGACCCATTCAACCCTTATTTTTCAAATACACTCTTGGTGCCAGTTTTGGGTTGCCTTGTCCAATTCTTGTTTGAGGCAAGAAGGACCTGTAGTACTTTTGACTGATGAACCATTTCTGAAGGAACTGCCGGACAACACTGTGGCCTTGCCAGCCTGGAGGTAACAGTAGGTTCTGGTCATTCTCCGAAATTGCCTTTACTCATGTATTTTATCCTATCCCTTTCTGACTCAAAATTTATTACCATATATGTATTATTTCTTTTTGATTTTCATTGAATTGTTTTTTCTTCAAATCATCTGGATTTGCATCGGTTCATTTCTTCAGATCTCAAGTCCTCTCATTTTCCTGTGCTCCAGCACTACTGCTCAGTCAATGTAACATACTGACCCATCCTATGGTTCTTTTCCATTCTTGTCAACTTTGCCACGCCTCTCTCTTTCCATACTCTTCCTGGCTCTGACACTGCTGTTACTTTCTCCTTTTGACATTCTCCATTGCCCCTCCCTTCATTGCATTTTAAAATGACATTGCATAAACAGTCATTAAGTTACTAGGAGAAAACAGCGTGCTACTTTAAAAATCCTTCCCATTTTTAGTGAGTAAAACTGGATATTTTGGTGCTCTGGATAAACCCTTACATCTTAAGCACTGAGTTGGCTGCAAATTTCTTTTATTGGGATTTTCAGTAAAAACTATAGATTAAACCTAAAAATGTCCTTATATAACAAATGATTAAAGCATAATGCTTTCCTTACAGGAACAGAATATTGAAAAAGTAGTTGGGAAAAATATCCTTCTTAGCATTATTTTTTGTAGGAGGAGACTTACTAACTTACTAGCTTCTGGAGGGGGGTAGTGAGAGAGCATGTGAAATTATGGTTAGCACATGGCTTTTGTCAGCTAGAGATTTGATGTCTCAGATGAATATGACATCATTCTAAAATTTTATACAAGTAAAATCTTTTTCTAAGAATTCATGTAAAAAACTTTGTTTCTATTCAGTTTTTGGAAACATTTATTAAGTATGTTTTCTTATGAACTTTAATTGAAATTATGATCTGAATATTATATGTTTGTTACAAATATGTTATACCTCCAGCTTAATGGTTTTAATGAATATCTAATGTGGAACTCCATTTAAGGAGAAAGTATACATTTTATCAGTAATTCCCACTGTCACTGTGGCTGATTGAGCCCTCACTTGCAGTTCCATGCAATTGACATATGCATAATGAAGGCCTTGCACTATCTTTAGCTAAGTCATGCCTAAGTCCCCTGAGAAGAGGGCAGCCCAGTGAGTATCTGAATGGTCTCTCTCAGAGGGACACTCACCGGTTGTCTGTTGCATCATCACTCAAAAGTATACAATATAGATCATAGGGAGATAGAAAAGGAACTAATTAAAACCCACAGTTCTTGACTGCAGAATAAAAGAGTTTATACAGAGTTAAAAATGAAACCAATAAAAGAGTTTATACAGAGTTAAAAATACATCTCAAAGAAAAATAAAAGAAAAAAAGAGGCCCAGTCTTCCTGAGAATTCTATCTTGGTGACCTCATCAGTTGCTGCAGTTGCACCATCACTCCCAACTCATCTCCTTTCAGCCAGTTGAACAAGTTGCAGTTCATTACCTTCATTTGGCCAATCCCCTCTCAGAGAATGCCTATCTTGATCAGATGGTGTCATCTAACCCCTAGCTGAGATGACTGTCACCAATTCCTTCTGAGTTCCGCATTTTGATTGAGGAAAATTGGACTTTAGCTTTGATGAGCGAATTCCATCCTGTCAGGCCTAAATAGATAGGACAGACCAAGCTCTTTAAAATTGGGCCCCTGAGAGCCTACAGTCATTGCAAAAGTTGGGCACAAACCTGTGACTTTCCCTGTAGACAATGGAACAGAACTCTCTGCCTTCAGAAGTTCCCTCTAGGTCTGAGGCACAAGTGCCTGACTGGCAAGCATGAGGTTGTGAGTTCAACCCCAGCACCAAAAAAAGGTTCCCTATGTCAAAAAATTACCATCACTGGGGCAATTGGGACTCTTCCATCACACACAGTATTGCAACCCGGAAGATATCTCCTTTCATACCAAACCAGCCAGCTTCTCTCTTGTTTAACCTTGCACTTTCAATTTTGATTGTTCCCCAAGAAAAAGATGCTGCCTGTATCAGGCTGAGATAGATAACTATAATCCTAAAGTTCTAAAACCTCTCCTACCAGAGGTATAAATTAAAGACTCATCTTTGGGACTGACCATCAGCCATG